CTTCACATTTAACTCTCCATATTCTGCTTAAATCTAATTATTTTATTTCTCTGCTGAAAAAAGAACCAACAAAACATGATGCTGCTAATGTTACTCTGTTTTTTCATCATGGGTTATGTTATTTTATGTTCAAAGTAAATATGTGTATAGTTTTAAGCCCAAACATCAATATTGTCTTGAGTTATATTTGTAAACTCAAAGCTCATTTTACATGTATGCTGTTAGTATCGAGCATTTAATGGGGCCTCTTATGAGTTTTATTAATTGTTACCTATTTGAACCTCTTCCATAAGAAGCAGATTTGTAGAGTGCACTACTAACAATCTTTCTGTCCATAGATTGTCTCCTCTGGGTTTTTATCCCCCCTATGGGAAGCCTGGTCCCTTTGCTTGCTATTTCAAATAAAGCAGCATTTTCTGAGCTGTTAGTTTAGGCCAGTGGTCTTAAACTAAAATCCTTGGGGGCCAGTGTCCGGCAACTTTTTGATGTCTGTGCTTCTTCAGACCTGACTGCAATATGAGCTCATTAGCAGAGTTTGACTACTACTTGTAGGGTAGTTAAGCTGTTTGATTCAGGTGTTTAGTGCAAGAGATACATCTAAAAGTAGCAGGACACTGGCCATGGGGAGAATTGGAGTTTGATTGCTACAACAGCTCCATGCTGGTGACAACTCTACGTTAATCTTATCTAGAGCCTAATATCTGTCCTGTCTGCTGTGTTCTTTGTTCTTTATAATGTTATTGTTTGGTCACAGATGTTCTCTAAGAAATCGTGGAGGCCTTTAAAGAAAATCTGTATTTATATACTGCTCAATTTTTCCCTAGCTAGTTGTGAAATGGATCATTAATGTTCCATGATCCTTACGGATTTCCCTCTGCGGTTCGGTACGCAAATGGTCCACCGATTGGTTGACCGAAATGAATAAATGGGCATGTTTACATGGAGAGTGCCTATTCAATATAATCAAGTGAAACAGAGTGGTGATCATGTCTAGCAGAGGAAGAGAAGAGCTGGAAAACCGCCTGCATCCTTTAAATCGCATGTATGGGAGCATTTTGGCTTCCCTGTCAAATACAGTTATGTTGGAGGAAGGGTGGTGGACAAAACATTGAGAGTGGGAATCTAGTATGGCAACCCATTAAAAACGACATAACCTTGGCGTTTATACGGATCCAAGATGAGTGCTTCTCAACCACCACTTATCACTGCGGCATTTAAACAGCCTTTAGCGGCAGAATCAGACCAGACTAAAGCTATAACACACACCATCGGAGTTTCTTTAGCTGCATGAGACCATAGGTACAAAAAAGGTATAGGTGCTAAATTTGCATGAATTGTCACATGCACCTTCTGTTGCGCTCTCCACAGACGGGTGGCCCTCCAGAGCAACGGAAAGCTTTGTATACAATGACCTGTTTAAAAGTATTCAAAGAAGGTTTCCTGCATTTTATTGAACTTTAATTTGTTTATACATAATTAATTTTATTATTTAATATAATATCTGGATTAACTTTTTGATTTTTTTATAAGCAAAAATGTTTAAATAAGTGTTCAACAAAATAAATAGACAGCAGAGTTATAGTTGCATTTTTTCCCTGGTGATCTGAAAAAAATTATCAGATCTGTGACTCAAAACTGTGATACGATCCAAAGTGTGTGTTTTGTGATCTGTTGTACAACTTTTTCTAGGTAATTGATATTTTCTTATTAAATAACTTCTAAAGGCAGTTTAGTGCACAGGATGTTCTCATAGGCTATCAGAGTAAAAAAAAACGCTCTTAGAATTTTATGGTTTTGCTTTTACAAACAAAATGAAAACAGTATTTTCCCATTTTATGCTCTGCCCTGTCTCAGTCTGCGAGATGTGTAATATTTAGAAAATATATTAAGCATTCAGATTAAGCTGATTTACCAGATTGGAAGTTTCTGACAATAGCTACCTTTGGTCTCTTAAACATAATTGTATCAAACCTATATGACTTCATTATTTTTAAACCAATATTCTAAGAGTTTTCTGTAACTAAATCATAAAGTTATCATAATGTTCTAGAAAAAAAGGCTTGAAAGCTCCCTTTTTATGAATGTACCAATCCAATGTGTTTTACTTTCTTAATGGCGCTATTGACATAAAACATTTTCCATTATATTTCTATTTATTGAATATGACTGTAAATCATGATAATATACATTAAAAATAAGATGGGAGAAACTTGTAAGGAGTGTAATTAATTTGTATGGCATAGTGGTAATATGCCATTTAATCTTTTTACATGTTTATGTTTAATATGTTTCTGCTTATGCAGAATGTTATTTACTAGCTTTCCTTTGTAAGTCCCTTAGTTGAATTCAGGAAGGAAATTTTGCATTTCATACACATTTTGCAAAACACTGCAAAATGTACAACACTAGGGTCACACTTAGAAAGACTTGCTTCAGCTCTATACTAAGGGTTTATTTAAATATGTCCATTATCTAAAAATGGCACACAAACAAAAAAGTCAGCTATTTAAAACCATGTGCACCCTCATTACAAATAATTTGCCTTTATAAATCACAGCTGCATAGTGCTTGCATACCAGATTCCACCACATGTTTTGCCCTCCAAATAACCCAAATCCAACTTGAAATGGTCAATGGAAAGAATTTGATGAATGAAATTTTGTATTTAAATGAGCAAGCTGATCAGTGTGATTTCATGATTTCCAATGGCAACCACAAAAAAGGAGCCAGGTAAAGCTGTTTTATTTGAATTTTAATGTGAAAATCAGTGGAAAACGCACATTTGGCACATGTCTTCATGTCTTGAATCAGAAAGTGATGAGGAGTGTCTGAGGGAGAAGAGTCGTGGCAGAGGAGCAATTGACAATGAGAATCAGAATGTCCCCCACCACTGTTTGTCCCAAATGTGCATTGTTGGGTCTGGAGGATGGCTGCTGATGTTTGCTGTTCTATCAAATCAGGGAAAATTGATAAATGTAGGAATGAAGGAAAAGAGTATTGAAAAGTTTGTGT